ATATATATATGTATGAAATATATAAAAAATTTATAAAAAATATATTAATTCAGTCTTACATATATATTAGGAGGTATGTGTTTAATATTTTTATGCATAAAAGGATTGCAACTATTTGATCCGTAGTCCAATAATAAATAATAATAACTATGTATTTCGCAATTAATGAAAAAATGTATCTCAATTTTATCAAGTACAATATACGCAGCGTTATACGCTCCTAAAAAAATAGCATTCCCCTGCCGTGCATACCTCGCTTATTATGTTTCGTCGACCCTGTCCGCCAGAATTTGTCATTTAAAAATCGATCAACAATGCGCGCCTTGCATTCTCTTGGGAATAATAATCTCAATGCGATCGCTGACATCAAAACAAAACAAATATTGTCCATTGTTTATTAATTAAGTAAGTTATTTTTTAAAAAAAGTATTTCTTCTGTTCCCGAATAATTTGAAAATAATTTTAAATCTTATTCTCATTGCAGATTGACAATCTTATTAAATTGAAACAGAACAAAATAAAACTAATAGAAAAAAGTTAATAAACTCTAAGAAATTTATTATAAAATTAGCGAAGAATTAAAAAAATTGAATACACGGAGACACAAGCGTATAATTGCGTGCACGGGAAACTCAGGTATACATATACTAGGCAGAGCAGGGGTGAGTCTCACGATCAGCTGATCGACACAACGTTGACCAGTGTTGACTCATTGACTCTTGAGAAGGAGGCGTGCCGTCAAGCGGGATAGTGAACGATGTAGTTGTAGAATGCCAGCTGTACATAAATGTAAGAGATTGGTCAGTCAGGAGCTCGCGCTCTCAATCTCTCGGAGCAGACTGGAGCGGACAGACTGGAAGATGTTTTGTAGTGGTTGAATCTCTTTAAACTTATGTTAGGAATATCGAAGGCCGTTGAATGCCAGGTGTGATCTCTCAAACGACGCTCGTGCCAGACTCCTACCTGGCTGCGCTAGAGATGCTTCGACCACAGCTTTCCAAAATTACGCACGACAGCTTGTAAATTCTACTGCTCGCTTACGGTCAGGAAATTTCTAAATCTCGTGCATCTTTCGTAAGTATTGCTTCCTACAAGGAAATACGTGTTCAGTGTGAGAAGCTTTGTTCACTTGTAGGCTTGCGAGCAGGAAAATTTGTGTAATGGTAAAACGCGCAATATGCATGCATAACGTTTAAACATTTACATATTTGGATTCAATTATTTATACGATTTGTATAATGAAACAATTATTTATATTGCACGCTATGCTTTGCTTTGTGTATACTTCAGTTTTATAATTCGTGTTTCATTGTCCATCAGAGAGAAATCATGTCATACGCTATCAATAGAAGACCCTTATTGGGAGGTGCGACTGATAGCGAATTTGAGGACGATTTGGAGACTGAAGTAGATGATCCTAGCATCACAATTCCTGATGAGAAACCATTTTTTAAACCATATGAGCCACATGACAAGTACGTCCCACTATATTTGAATTTAATTTGATATTTATTAATATTATATAAAATCCGTTCAACAATCTATACCTGTAAATTTTTCGCATATTTTAGATATAATCTTGCGTACATTGTGTTTTACTTACTTGGTATAAATACATTAATACCATGGAGTTTTTTTATCACTGCTGACGACGTAAGTGACGTTTCTTTGCTTTTTTCTCTTTGCTCGGAATACAGTTGTCTATATTATATCTTTTTTCAGTACTGGATGTATAAATTTAGAGAAATTCATAATAATTCGACAAATCTTACTCATACGTACGCAGAACTACTCGAGCAGAAGACGGATCTTCAAGCTAGTTTTACTTCTTATTTAAGTGTAGCCAGTGCATTACCAAATACGCTGTTTTTAATACTGAATGCATTTATTAGCAAGAAGTGAGTAAAAAAATCACCGTTAGAAAATAATAGACAAGTATATATTTTAAAAAATACTATGCGCTACACATTTAAAATTACTACATATTTTTCATTTTATTTGTACGACTACATTCGTCTTTAAGATTCGAATAATTGAGAGTCCTATACAAGAGAATACTTGATGTATTTATATGCAGTTAGTTCAATTCTTTTATAATATATAGATCAGGAAAATAATTAATATCTCTTTACATTATGTAGTACAGAAAAGTAGAAGCGATATTTAAAGTTTCTAAATTTCCAGAGTATCTCTAACTGTAAGAATGGTGGGTTCTCAATGTATAATATTGTTGCTCTTCATCCTGACGACTGCGTTTGTGGAAATGAATACTGATAAATGTAACTCAGCAAGTTATTTTGTCATTACATTAATTTATCATATTAATTAGAAATACTTCTATTATTTCAGAAATAAAATAAAACATTATTTTCAGGGCAAAATGCATTTCTAATAATTACTTTGACAACAGTTGCCCTTGTAAATGGTGCGTACGTTATTATGTAAATAATTAAATTTATGATAATGTCCCAATAATTGAGCTTGTGATAAGATAACAATAATATAAACTTCTAGCTGCGAGTGCAATTTTTGGAGGAAGTTTAATGGGTATAGTGGGCAAGTTTTCGCCAGAATACATAACCGCCATGTCCGGTGGGCAAGCTCTTGGTGGAATATTCACGGCTCTAGCGGAAGTGTGTTCCTTGTGGATAGGTGCCAGTCCAGTACTTTCTGGCTTAGTATATTTCATTATCGGCGACACCATGCTACTATTATCGCTAATCGCATACATCCTTTTAGAAAAAGCGGTGAGTTAATTTCGTTCAAACATATCTCGGGGTATTAATTTATTATCTTACTGTGTTTTCTTTAATCCGATCCAGTGACTATATCACGCAAGACAATGATATCATTAACGCTTAGTGTTTTGTTCGTTAAAACGATGATGCATATAGCACAAGTGTTTTATAAATATATGATAAGCTTCTTATGATAACGAACATATATGTATCACATTATTGCACGATCTGTTGAAAGAGAATAAATGGAGTAAATAAATAGTCGAGATAAGTGATATAAGATTCTTTTTTTTTTAATACAGTAGCATTCCTGACTAAAGTTTTTTCACAAACAATTTCATTAATTAGATTTACAGAATTTAGTCTAAGAATCATTGCTCTACAACATTTTTTTCTTACAGCCATTTTTCAAGCATCATATGATAGAAAAAGTACCTGAATTAGATTCAGATTATTCCATAAATGAAGAAGTTAGTTTCTCGACAAGTTCAAGCGTGTCTTACACGCGGATTGTAAAGAAAATCTGGCATTACGGTGTTAGCATATTTTTAATATTCTTCATATCATTAGCTGTGTATCCAGCGGTCACTGTGCTAGTAGAGAGCGAATACAAAGGCAAAGGCCATGCATGGAATGGTAATCTTAAATTTATGTAGCACAATGCTTTAAAGATTTCGAACAATAAATTGTATAGGTATAATGACTTTTGTCAATAACTATGGGTTTGAAATGACTTTTCAGATATATATTTTGTACCTGTAGTTACGTACCTTATCTTCAGTACAGGCGATTATGCAGGAAGAGTATTATGTGGTATTCTTCAATGGGTGAGAAAATTTGCGTTTTAAGAGAAAGAATTTATCATCTGCAAATACTCATTTGTACGATGTTTATCAAGTTTTTATCATTGCAGCCAAGAGGCAAGCCATGGCTCGTAATATTTTTGAGCGTCGCTAGAGGTATTTTTATACCTGCATTTATGTTTTGCAATGCGCAACCGAGACATCATCTACCCGTTTATATTCACAGTGATATATATTACATCTTGATAACTATTGCGTTTGCTGTAACTAATGGCTATCTCTGTAATTTAACATTCATTCTCGCGCCCACGTAAGTATATTTAAAAATAAAACTTTATTAATTGCAAAAGATTATTTTCTAATTGTATGTATTGACTTTACAGAGTCGTAGATAATCAGGAAAAAGAAGTTGCGTCTGCAATGATGGGTGCTTTCTTGGGTATAGGATTAGCATCTGGCGCTGCGCTCAGTTTATACATGGTGAAGGCGCTTTAATGTTCGATTCTTTTAACTGAAGAGAAATGTAAATAAGATACATCTCACTGCCCTTTGTACATTCGAAATCAAGTAAGATTTCGAGATTACTTTATGATTATGAGATTTTAAGTATTAGTATAAATCAATTCTCAATCGTCATCTCATTGAAACATTGCTGCTAATTTACGAGAATTCTTTTTTTTATGAAGAATTTTCTAGAGGCAGCTTTCTGCGAGATGTTTTACTAAACTAAAAATCTGAATAGAGATCTGATCACATAATTTTTATGACTAGTTTTAAATTATCTATTCGACACAATTGCATGGCGCAATTTCGTATTATCATATTTGTCAGTTCAAGATAATAATTGGCGAGGTGTCAAATTACTAGAGATAGACAATGTTGATATTATATATAAATTTCATCCTTCCTACAGATTTATATATAGTTTATGTGTGATACATTTATTATATATATCTTAGGATAAAATAAATGTAATTCTACAAATGTTATGTGTATATATGATATCAAAGAAACAAATAGGTATAATACAAAGTATTTGAGACTCTATCATTGTAGATTATATTGAAGAGATTATGTACATTTAAACATAGTATCTGCAATTTCTGCAATTTAAAAAGAAGTACAGATAGTGATTGATGCGATAAATGACAAAGAGATATTAATAAGTATTAGACATAATAATAGTCTTGTTATACGTACAAATATGATTAATTTTATGTTAATAAATAAAATACTTAATGATATTTACGTAGTTTTCTGTCTGTCCATGAAAAAAAAAACCTTAAAAATCTATATAATAAAATAATTACGATAAATAAGTTATGACAAATATAAGTTAGAGATATTATTATGTTTTGTCAACCAAAGTTTTAAGTAATAGCAAGTGATAAATTCACTATTTAAATAGGTATTAGTTTAAATTTATTTTTTTTTGCTTTCTTTCTGTGTATTTATATAATTTATAAGCTGGAAAACATTATAAATTAGATACAAAATCAAATCCTTTATAAGTAGTATAAATTACAACACTATTTAGTGCATTTTCTTATTACGATCGCAATCTCGAATATACTGAAACTGAAATATTCTAATATAATTATTCTGATGGCTAGATTTTGATTAAGCTTTAATTAATTTAAATAATTCGTAACAATTATGCTGTGCAAAAATGTTTCAGTATAGTGCTTACAGATTGTGATACAATTTAAATAATTTTATATGTAAATATTTTTTTACGCGAATAGAGCTGTTTCGCATGAGATTTTAAAATAACAAAGTAATAAACGTAATCACAAACATAAATAAAATGGCGCTCACTCATTGGAGCAGGCACGTGCCTCATGATCGACGATACTGTCGTTCCTTGTCAGTGAGAGGAACAAACACCACGCTTATAAGGGATCGCTGCTTGATTTTGCCGTCCAGAGTCTTGTCGATCTGCACTAAGGTTTGATCCGAATTTTCTGGACCCATAGGTACTATTAAACGTCCACCAGGTGCCAATTGATCTATCAACTATAAGATGGAAAATCTTGTAGTATTCGTTCCAACATATCTGACAATAATTTCAAAAATTTTTTTTTACCGATTGCGGCATTTCTTTAGCGGCCGCTCCCACATGAATAGCATCGTATGGTCCGCGATTTGGATATCCCAATCTTCCATCACCAACTAAACAAGTGCAATTATGAAGAATGAATCAAATAATTTCATCACATAGAGAACAGTTTGTGACATGTCAAAGCATACGTTACATATTATTTAAAAGTAGATTTTTATTTACCAACTAATTCTACGCGTCCGTCGGTCAAAAGTTCTAGGTGGTCGTGCCGAATATTCTCTTCTGCCATTGCTCGAAGCTCTGGAATATGATCGATTCCAACGGCCACTCCCTGCGGTCCCATCATAAGAGCCATGCATGCTGTCAAGTATCCGGATCCAGAACCAACGTCCAATGCCCTTGTGCCGTTACGCAGCTTTTCTTCAAGCAATTCCAGGGCATACGCGTGCTAAAGAATTTCCGTTTGTCTTCCAACTTGTAATTTCCTTTTCAGTGTTTTTTTTTTGTCAGTGTGCATTCATTTATTTACGACTATTGCAGAAAATACTTTACTCTTAAGCATAATACTCTTGCAAGTGATCTTTTATCTCATAATGGAAACCGAGTATTAATTTGTAGACATTACATAATATTGCAGTTTTATAAAGAAATACAAAGACAGAATACAAAGTATATAAAGGAAAGAATACATTGTATTATACCATGTGAGGAGCACTGATGGTAACACCAAAACCGATTCCTTGTGGTGCGTCTATGTAGGCATTGGCGGGATGAGTGTATTTTCCTCTGTCCACAGAACTCATTACTTCAAATACTCTGTCAGATTTGATCACCCTGGACCCTAAAATTTTTCATTTCTTTTCTCATGAAATATATGTATCATTCTGCTGAATGATATAAATAAGAATGCAAAAAAATATAATAAAATTGATACAATTGATTATGTTCTTTTCATTAATTTTTTAAATAATTTTGTATATAGAGGCATGTATATGTATATAAACATGTGTGTGTGTTTTTTAAATTAAATTGCTCCAAATTTTCTCTGTGTCCACAAAATAACTCATTACATCAAGTACCATCAAACTTGATCATTCTGAAATAATTTATCATGCAATATATGTATCGTTTCTTCTGAGTAACATAAATAAAAATGCAAAAATATAACAAAATTATATTCTCTATTAATTTTTGAAATTATTTTATACACATACACACACATACCAAAGTCAAACGCAAAGGCAATGAATGGTCATTTTTTATTTTGAGTCTCGAACTTAATTAGATTACAAATATTGCATAAACTGCGTTGCAATTCTAAGTCTAATCTGGACGTCAACGAGATAGAAGCTAGGCATGCAGTGGTCAGAGGGGGGGCAGAGAGGAACCTCGATGACACAACATTGCATAATCACGCGTGGATACTTACGCCGCAGATGTTGCACGAGCTCCTGATTGTTCCTACCACAATATCGTCCGTACAAAGCCATGTCGTGGGTGAACGCAGCGGGCGACAAAATCGCGAACGTCGCGCAAAGGCACTCGACGACGCGAGACCGAATCTTGGGGAGATACGTGGTGGCCGGTGCGTCGAAAAACAAACGAACGGAGTCGCAGTTGCGCGTGCGGCGCGGACACCGACAACCTGTCGCTTCCGGTAGTCGCGAGGGAATTCCACTCCGGCAGTCCCGGACGACGTCTTCGACGCGTGGTAAACGATGAACTTCTCGACCCGTCGAATATTATCGGGTGACGGCTCGATGAACGACTCCTCTCGCTCCTTTCCAAACAACTGCGATTTTACATCTCGCGCACCGATTTTACGTCGTTGCTCTATCCTGTCGAACGCCGGCGATGATCGGAATCACGATTCGAACTAGATCGACATGCACCGGATTAGCAAGATATGCGCGATTTTTTTAACAATATTGTTCACCTACGTTCACCCGTTCGCGACATTTGTCTCAGCGTTGGAGTCGTTGGAGAACGTTCGCGCGCCGCGAAACGTCACGCTGGCACGTATTGCGCTTTTAAAAATAGACGGTGAGGGGAGGGGCTGTCAGTTGCCGCGAGTTTATTCTGATCCGAGCAGCGATTTCTGATTGGCGGACGCTTCCGCGATCGATCGCCCGCGAAATTTCATTTGAAATTGAGAATTACGACAATATTACTCGACAATTGGTGTTCCTGCGCATCGATGAGATATTATTAAACATTAAATATTGACATTCTTACGGGAATTCGTGTCTCTGTTAAAATTTAAGGTTACATTTCAAAACGTCCTCTCCAAGGAAGATTTTATTCCATATGCTATAGGGTATGTCACGTGTACTATATATTTCGAGTAAAATTTTCCTCGAAGAGGACGTTTTGAAATGTATACTAAAGGTATTTTTTCATGCTGACGTTCAACACTCATTTTTAGCGTCAAACAAGTATATCAAGCATCAATTTTGATCACGTGACCTGTTAAGCCATTAAAAATCGAACGTCAACATAAGAAGGCACCTTTAATACCGGAAGTTCCTCACTTTCAGGCACTTCGTTTTCGTTTGATGATAGTTGGCGTCGTTGGCGTTTGTTCTTTTCCGTTCGTTCTTTTCATCGTTGGCAGCTGCTTGGGTAAGATGTTTCCTCTTGGTTTCCCGTAACCTTATCACAATTGATTTGCATTTATTTATAAAATTTTTAAATTTTTACATAGTTGGCCAGTTATTCCTTGTACGGAAATATTCGTAAATGTTCTCTCCAAATTCGCGTTGCATGAATCTTGTTCCTAACCGTTTTCTTTTGGGATTCGCAGTCGCCACGTGGCGACTTAATTTAGCACGCGATTAGAACGAATCTGCACTAAAAATAACAAACATATTGCAATTTCGAATGAAGAACGATTATTTATCTTTCGAAATTATTATTTTTAAAAGTTTTCTATTAATTTTGAGTAATTATACGATATTTTGCTGCTGTGATAGAAAAATAACATATCTCATAGTAATAAAATAACAACGGTGTAAAGACTCTTTATGTATAAATAAAATAAACAAAGTGAACGGCGAAAAAACGGCGAAAAACGTGGTTCTCATTTACTTGTTCGGGTGTGTTGTTAGCACTTGACTATGTATCTTAACATCGTTTGTTTTGACTGCACTATCGCATATATGTACAACATTAGGCTACACGTCGAGATCCATCATAATTGCTGATTTCCGCGCGTTAAAAATGTTGCGACACTGAACTTTATTTATTTATTATTTATTTTTTTTTATGTAGTCTTTTATTACTTTTTTTATTATATTCATTTTATTTTACATCTGAGGAGGGCTCAATTCAGCAGCCGAAACTTGTAATTGTTTTATATATTAATATACGCCGTTCTACTTCTTCTTATTTTATGTATCTATGACTATTATCTTTAATTAAATATATTATGCGTCGACTCTTTTTCGCCGTTCACTTTGTTTATTTTTTTTCTCATAGTAATGTTTTGTAGAGCATTTTTAAAATTCTGGATTAGAATATTTTAATTAAAATGATGAATATGCGTAACTTCACGTTCTCTCCATGTTATATTTTCAATTATATATCACATATTCTCTAAAATTACGCCATAAATTTTCAAAATTCAAACACTGCAATTTTATATTACAATTCTGTAATGTTAATTTTTTTACTTGTGCCATTTTTCTATCAACGTGGCGATTTGGTGTCCTCTCATTTTGGCATGCCTCCAGTTCGTATCTCGCTGGAGCATGAATGCTTGTGGGAGGTAAAGAAAAAGGGAACTTGCCTTCGGAATCCACACGATACTGTCTGGAGCCGTTTCTCTAAGTTTCCGATATTTATGCTCGTTTTCACCAATGTAGATTAACTTTAATTTCGGTTCAACTTCTAAAGATTAGAAAAAGACGAAGAGAAAGTTGAACGGAGATTAAAGTTAATCTACATTGATGGAAATAGGCATTAATCCTTAGAAAAGTATGCTAATGCATACTTTTGTAAGTCTACTGATGCACATAATCTAATTATTTTTTATTTTGTAGGATTACCTCGAGGACAAATTCTCAATAAAGAATATTATATCGATGCTTTACTTATTTGTCTGAAGAAAACGATAAGCAATAAGAGAATCTAAAACAAAGAGTGGTCAGTCAATAAGTTCTTAGAAAATCTCAGAGGGCACTTGCAGTGTCATGTCACATTACTTTTTGACAAATATTGTCAAATTGGGTTGTCCGGAAAGTTCGTGCGTATTTCTCAACAGATGTCGTTTGAAGGTGAATATCATATGTTTATGTCGATGCGATGTGTCAGATGCTTTCGTGTTTTGATTAGTGACATTTCAAAGCATAATTAGTGATATTCATTATCCCAATAAATTAAAAACTGTTTACTTGAAATCAGCTTAAAGATGGAAGAAAGTAACGTGTTTTTTCGATGCATAATGCTTTTTTATTTCCGCAAAGGCAAGAACGCGACACAAACTCGAAAAAAAATATGTGCCGTATACGGGGAAAATGCCGTAAGTGATCGCATGTGCCAGAAGTGGTTTGCTAAATTTCGTTCAGGAGAAATGAATATTGAAGATGCTCCTCGCTCTGGCCGGCCAGTCACCACCGATGTCGACCAAATTACAGCTTTAATCGATTCCGATCGGCAAATCACAGTTCGGGAAATCGCAGCAAGGTTAAACATTGGCAAATCAGTTGTTTCCGAACATTTAAACAAGCTCCAGATTATAAAAAAGCTTGATGTTTGGGTACCGCACGACTTAACTGAAAAAAATCGTATTGATCGCATTTCCATCAGCGATTTGCTATACAAACGCAACGAATACGATCCATTTTTGAAGCGTATCATAATAGGCGACGAAAAGTGGATAATTTATAATAATGTCGAGCGTAAAAGGTCATGGAGCAAGCGAGGTGAACCGCCATCGACCACTCCGAAGGCAGGTTTACATCCAAAGAAGGTAATGCTCTGCATTTGGTGGAATTGGAAAGGGATAGTGT